TAAAATATCTCGAATGCAAAATCAATATCCAGTTGATGTATGATTCAATGATCATAATGATAAAAAATTAAATAATAATATTACAAGAAATTGAAATATAAGAAAATTTAATTATTAAATTGTGATGATAATTATTACTTGTATTGTATTGAAAGTATTTCTTATATTTTATATATAATGTATAATTAAATATATAATTCAGAATTTATAAATTTTTTTTTTTAAAGTAATATAAACAAAATAAGAAAGAATTTAGAATTATTTCTATTTTAATTATATGAAAATTATATAATATAATTTTTTGTAATATAAAATTTAAAAAAATTATAATCTGTAAGTAAACGTACAAACTAGTAATAATATTAATATTTAGTAATATTTAATAATAAATAATTTTGTTTTCATCAGTTGGTACTTTTGAATTTTACATCGAAAGAGACGCTATATTCTATATCTCACTTCCCGATCTGTTTCGATCCGCCATTTTTTTACGTAGGAAAGCGTGTGGTTTAGCATTGTGTTTTGTCGAATTGCTTTACGGAAATACTGACTTGGTAAGTATTTTAATACTTTCTAAATATTTTACATGTAATTTCTTAAATGAAAAGCATCATATGAATGTAAAAATATCAGTTATAGACTTGCATCAATGAGATTATGTAGTTATATTTCATAGCGTCGATACGCAGATATCCGAAACACGCCATTTCGCGTTTCTAGATTTCCAATAATAAATTCATTTTATAAAAATGTTTAATTTTTTTCAACTAAAAATAAAAAATAATTATTAGTTGATAGCATTGTGATGCATTTATTGTTAAAATATTTTTATATATCTTTGACAAATATTATAATACTTTGTCGTGTTATATACATACATTGATATTGTACATGTGGTCACTGATTTAATGGAATTTAATTTTTATCACAATAATTTTCTATTCGCTTATTATTTTATATCAGTGCATAAAGATATACAACAAACATATGATATAGATTTATTTCGTAAATCAATTACATATTTTATGGCATAATATAGTTTATTGTTGCATTATTTTATATTTTTTTGTAATAATTTTCTAAATATTTGTAATATTCTGAAAATATTAACATTGTAATAGACACATAACATAACCATAACGATATAATAGTTTACATATTGCAATTATTGACTACTTTCAATTCAACGAGAGAATGTAAATCGTGATAATTACGTTTTAATATTGCCGAACTATTTAAAAAAAAATAATATATATTATTATATAAATAATATATATTATATATTTCATTCCGTTCAATTTGCCAATAAATGTCATAATTTTTCAATAATGTGAACAAATATTCAAAAAATAAAAAATTTAATTATTTCTGTTTTATGAATGATAAAATATAATAACATTCATTACAATAATCATTAGAATAGAATAGAAATTTTCGTATACAATTCATTCGTAATATTTGAAAGTATGTTCATGATAAGTTTTTGGACACACTATTCTCACTGTTCGCTGTATTGCAATTGTCCGATAGGGGTCACTACATACTTCGATTCTCGCGCACCAGCGGACGCAGCAAGTGAGACGCCATTGTTAGATTGCGTTCTCTTGTGTAAAGTTGTGTGTCTAATATCAACGTTGGTTAAATTATTCGTTGAAAGTAGCACGCAATAATCTTCGGTGAGTGTGAAAAAAATATATAGTCTTTGAATATAAATTTATACACCGTATTTGAGTTGGTGATTATTATATTATTCACATTTCCTAGATTTGGTGCGCCATTTCAACAAGGTCGGTACGCTTTCTGTATTACGTATTTTATAACGTATTTAATAAGTACTTATTCTCTGCTTATATATTTCATATTGTTCTATCATAAATAGAAATTAGAAAATTTGTGCTTTCTTATATTCGAAAATTTTGAAATTGATTCTATTCATTAAAATTTAAATATAAAAGTTCAGAATTAGTCAGAATTTATGACCTTCGAAATTCGAAATGCTAGATCGTTAGCAAAATGGTGGAAAAATGTGCGCTGTGAAGAGTATCTAAAACAATCGCGTCGTTATTAAATAGATAAATTTTTATGATTTTTATTTGATTCTAAATAAAGTTATTTTTATTTAAATCAAAATAATATAAATATTATATTTTAATATATTTTAATTTAATATATAAAATAAATTATATTAAATATTTTAATATATCATTAATATATATCGATATTAATATAATAAAGTATATATATATTTTAATATATATATATAATATATATTATATTTAATATGTATAATAATCATATTGATGATAATAAATTAATTATTCATTGGAAATATGTTGTGCAATAATGTTAAGAAATAAAATTAGTTGTATTATAAATTATTATAAAAAGTAAAATGTTTAATTGTAAATAAGATGGATATAATATTTCTTTATTTATTTTATTTTTTTTATTTCAGTATATATTTTTATGTTCGAAAAATTGTGTACACGCGCACACACACGCATACACATATAATATTTTAAATGTTTTGTTTTTGAAATTAGGTTCTAAGACGAGCCGAAAATGCCGGGTTTTAGTAGTGTTGGCACATTCAAAATTTTCATCGGTAATTTAGCCGATAAAACAACAAATGCTGATATTAAACCGTTATTCGAAAAATATGGAAAGGTTGTAGAATGTGATGTGGTGAAAAATTACGGATTTGTGGTAAGTTTCCTTCATATCATATATCCTGAATTTTTAATATAATCATCTTTAGTTAGAGTTTTTTTTTTTTTTTATCTTTTTTCTTTTCTTTTGTTTTCTTATAAATCTGTCGGATAATTGTATCTTGGTCCGAAAAATTTACAATTCTTTAATTCAATTATCGAAAAAAATATTTTATGATATAATTTTCAACAGCATATGGAAAACGAAGAAGCAGGAAGAAATGCAATACAAAATTTGAATGGACATATAGTTCATGGTCAGGAGATTAAATGTGAAGCTGCAAAGAGTCGTAAAGGACCTAACACACCTACAACAAAAATATTTGTTGGCAATCTCACAGATAATACAAAAGCGCCTCAAGTGCGCGAACTATTTGCCAAGTACGGTACTGTTGTAGAATGCGATATCGTGAGAAATTATGGATTCGTCCATCTAGAAGCAACAGGTGATGTCAACGATGCCATCAAGGAACTCAATGGAAGAATGGTGGATGGTCAAGCGATGAAGGTTCAAATTTCTACAAGCAGAGTACGACAAAGGCCAGGAATGGGAGATCCTGAACAGTGCTATCGATGCGGTCGCGGCGGCCATTGGTCCAAGGAGTGCCCGAAAGGAGGAATGGGAGGAGGACCAGATAGAAACGGATACAGAGACCGAATGTTTGGACGCGATCCGTATCCTCCACCGCCGCCACCACCGTTCCTTCGGGATCGGTTAATGGGTGGTGGCCGCTTTGGAGTAAGTTAATTTTTTTTTTTTTTTTAAATTTAATTTTCTTAATAATCATTGATATTAGAAGCAATTTTAGTAAAAAGGGAAAGAAGACAAAACAAATAACGAAATAAATTAATACAACTAATCATTCATGCCAATATGCTTTTTTGTATTTATTTCAGGATTACGAAAGCTACTATGACAGGAGAGGCTTCGAGGACACCAGGGATCTCTACGAGAGGCGGTTTACGGGTATGACAGGGCCCTGTGACATGGGAAGTTCCATGTGCGGGCTTGACTTTCCACCAATGACAATGCCACCTCTACCCCCAAGACGAGACCCAATGCCTCCTATGCCTCCTCTAGGTATGGGATCCATGCGCGACACTGGCTTCTCCCGTGGTAACGAGTATGGCATGTTCAGCCGCCGATCGCCCCCTCCAAGTGGCAACAATGGCCGGTTCAGGTGAGTAGAGCCAATGCATTGACTGCCCATTCGTCCGACTTAACATTGTGAACGTTCCAGGCTGGATTAACAGCTCATGCGAATTGGGGTTCGGCTATCCGTCGACATTTAATAATTGTTTTTTATCGTGTTTTTTCTTCTTTTCTCTTATACGTATATTCTCGATCTCATATGTCTTAAAAATTTATCTCTCTTAAGTATACACACACACACACATATATATATATATATAATATATATATATATATATATATAT